TCATCATAGCTCATTGCAACCTCAAACTTCTAGGCTCAAGTGATCCTCCTGCCTCAGCCTCCCAAATAGTTGGGACTATAGGTGTGTACCACCATGCCTGGCTAATTTTTCTATTTTTTAGTAGAGACGGGATCTTGCTCTTGCTCAGGGTAGGTCTCGAACTCCTGGCCTCAGGCGATCCTCCTGCCTCAGCTTCCCAAAGTGTGATAGGATTACAGACATGAGCCACCGTGCCTGGCTGAAATATTCCATCTTTTGATTCAAGTAGAATCAACTAGACCATCTTTTCCTCTGTTTTCTTTAACATAAGTATGTTACTTTGAAGTCTTTGTCTGTTAACTCCAACATCTGGATCATTCATCTTGGGTCTGCTTTTTTGTGGCTTTTTTGGGATGTTTTTACATTTTGAGGTTTTATTTTTTAAATCTCTTTATTGATCCATAATAATTGTACATATTTATGGAGTACATGTGATACTTTGATACATGCGTACAATGTGTAATAACCAAATCAGGGTAATTAGGATATCCATCACCTCGAACGTGTATTGTTTGTTTGTGTTGGGTTCCCAACAAATCTCCTTTGCTAGCTATTTGAAATATACAATATATATTGTTAACTATAGTCACCCTATTGTGCTATCAAGCACTGGAACTTATTCCTTATCTTGGGTCTACACTTATTGTTTTATGACTTGAATATCAATCACTTTCCTGTTTCGCCTATTAATTTTTTATTGTGTGTAAACATTGTGGATGACATATTGCAGAGGCTCTAGATGGTGTTGTCTCTACAGAGAATGTTGAGTTTTGTTCTGGCAGACAGTTAAATTGCTGAGGAAGAACCTTAATTCTGTTGAGACTTTATGTTAGGCAATGTTATGGTAAGTGTATCTCACTTTTGCACTTAGTTCTGAAGCATAGTTCTAGGACCTTGTGCAAAAGTAAAATACACTTATAACTATGTCTGGGATGTTCATGTAGGTCTCTTTACTTTGTGTGGATCTGAGGATGCTAGCATTTTCATAGCACTAAGACTCGTCTGAAATCTCTGTCCAACGTTTAGCCACCCAGAAGCTGTTCTCTACTAGGCCTTTGAGAGTTATGCCCTGTATGCGTGCAATTTAGAGGTCCAAGAACAGCCCCTTTACATGTTTTTGGGTTATATTTTGGCTGGCTCCTTTCTCTTTAGCATCCTCCTCCCAATCTACCTCAGCAGTCCCAAACTCTGATCTCTTTTTTCTTTGCCCAGAGAGATAATCACTTTCTACTTGAATTGTACTTCCTTTCAGTATGATTTTGGAAAATGAAGGGCAGGGTCTGTGCTTTGGTTCACTCAAATGTCTCTAAGCCATAAGCTGTTTTTTAATTCATTGCTTAAAACCTGTTATTTATTTATTTATTTGTCCAATTTTATTTTTTTGTTTATGGAGGGAGAGTAATTTTAATGTCAGCTACTTTATTGTGACTGAAACTGGAAGCCGCCTGAATTAATCCTTAAAATTTGCCAAATATTTAGTAAATTCAGTAGATTTGGTAATATTTAAAATGCCAAGATTTAAATTATAATATAGAATAACTGAATCATAGGTTTGTCTAAAAAATGTTCTATTTTTCCTAGACATCACTTAGTGCTCTTGCCCAACTGATGAAAAAGATGCCCCATTTCCGTAAACAGATTACTAAGGTAAGCAGTATTGTA